AATTTAAGCAGGAGAGTGAGTTACGTTTTACAATAATCACTTTAGGATCAGAGCTTTCTCTCCTCATTTTTGTCATTTTAGGAAATGACCCCATATTTCATGCATCTGCTCAAGCCAGAAACACAGGAGCCACACTTGTTGTGATGATAACCTTTTAAAAAATTATAAAATGCGTGCATGGTTTAAAAATAATCCCAACAGTACAAATGATACTATGAAAAGTCAAGTCTCTCGTTTTTCTCACCTCTATCTCTCTCTGCACAGCTGGTATATTTTCCAGAGGTGCTAAGCAGGGTTAACAGTTTTCATTTCATTCTTCGGTGCTTCTTGTGGCAACTCTAAATCATACACATGTGAGCCTACTGCTTTGAACTATAAACATTCAGCAGTATCTACCGAAGGAACTCATTCTCATACTTTTCCTGCCTCACCCGTCTCTCCTATGCAATCTATCACTAAGTTCTATCAAGTCCACTTTCAAAACACATCTCAAGTCCGTCTGCTTCTCCCCATCTTCCCTGTCAGTACCGTGGCCCGCACTCTGTCCTAACTGGTCTTGCTACTTCCAATCCTTTATCCCTCCAGTCCTTTCTCCTTATTGTAGTCATAAAGGTCTCCTTAAAACAGCATTAGACGGACCCGGGGTTCAAAGTCTTCAAAGGCTTCCCACAAAAATAAAATTCAGAATCTTTATCAAGATCTGTGAGGTTCTGCACGATCAGGCTCCTGCCTCCCTCCCCACACGCATGTCCAGCCTCCCAGCAGCTCCCTCAGCAAACACGCGCCTTCCTCTGTCCCGTGAGCACTTCCATCCTCTGCCTCTCCTTAGCCTTCCCATTTGCTGTTTCCTCTGCCCAGGGTGCTTTTCCCTCCATTTTTTTTTCGTCAAGCTAACCCCTATTCTTTCAAATATCAATTTAAATTATTCTTCGTCAAAGAGACCTGCCAAGAGCACCAAATCTGAGTCAGCGCCTGCTTTTGTTTTTCATAGCACCCTGTTCTCCTTCATACTACTTCCAACAATTTGTTATCATATGTGTATTTTTTAAATGTAAGTTCCAAAAGGATAGGAAACACATCTGCTTTATTCAACACTAAATTCAGTAAAATTGGCACTGCGTCAGGTCACAGAATGGGCTTAAAAATTATTTATTACATGAATGAAGCTAGCCAGTGGAAAGTTCTCTTATGGTTTTATCTCCTGCCTTTTCCTTCCGTGAAACTTTAGCTCCATTCAGATTTTCATGTTTTGCACACTTATCACCCAGAAAAATCCTTCATTCACCCCTATTAGGCATGGAACCTTAAGGGACACCTCATGTAGCTCTCCACTTAAGTTTCAGTAACCATTTCAGTTTATTTTCTTCTTTTCTTGAGAACTCACTGTACTTATATTTTGTACCATTCATTTGCTGCCTAATCTTAAATTGCCTTGTAACAACTCATCTGCTATTGTTAACACTTTATGTTCACCTATATTGTCTTGCCAGTTATGTCATAAATCTATCAAGTACAGGGCCTGGTACTTCAGATCCCAGGGTACACAGCATGCCTATTCACAGAGGACTCGCAGGAAAGAAGGAGTCTCCATCTCCCCCCTTTAGCGCCCCCCATTATAAGACTCGGATATGGGAGTCTGACTCATTTCCTTTCACTCTATTTTCTTCCTCAAACCTTCTGAGTGAGTTCCATCACGCCAAGAATGAAA